GCCTGCAGCAGCAGCAGCAGCAGCAGCAGCAGCAGCAGCAGCAGCTGTAGAAGAGGTGAAGATACACCTCAAGAGTTTGCGGTGTTTTTAAGAGCTGCTCTACCAAATTCATGCAGCAGCCGATCGCAGCGCAGAGCAGCAGGGACTGAGAAGGAGTTTGCTGCTACAGATATCAGCTGCTGCTGCTGCTGCTGCTGCTGCTGCTGCTGAGGGTTGCTGCTGTTGGGTGTCTCCTCGTCTGCAGCGTCGGGGACAAAAGGAGACAGCAGAGATGAGTCAATCGATGGAGACGCAGATATAACAAACACCACAGGCGGCACTTGCTGCTGCTGCTGCTTCTGCTGCTGCGGTGCTGCAGCACCACCACCCTTACCCCCTGCTGCTGCTGCTGCTCCTTCTGCTGCTGCTGCTGCAGTTAAGGCTTCAGGAAGCCCCTCTATGAAAGACCGCAGAGACACTGGAGGGGCCCTCTGCGACTCCGACAGCGCGACCCAGCTGCACATACACCCCACACATGCACACGCATGCAGCACCCATTCTGCTGCTGCTGCTGCTGCTGCTGCTACTACAAGAATGCTAAGAACAAGCTTATGTCTGAGGTGTACATACAGCAGAGATGCAGCACTTGTGGGGAGACTGACCTGCTGCCTTCCGGGAAGTGTCTCCAAAAAGGCGGCTGCAGCACCTCGATTAGCGGCTCCTGCTGCTGCTGCTGCTGCTGCTGCTGCTGCTGCTGCTGCTGCTGCTGGTTTGTGTCTACTTTTGCTTCAAGTCGGCCTGTCGGCGAAGACAGCGCTGTCTCCATTATCTTTTTAAAGACTCTGAAAGTGCGCGGCACGCGGAAGCTGCAGCTGATGCGCAGCAGCTTCCCATCGAGAGTGTGCAGCAGCAGCTGCAGCGGCTGCTGCTGCTGCTGCTGCTGCTGCTGCTGCTGCTGCTGCTGGTGGAGACGCAGCAGCTTCACTATAGGGGAGTCTAGAAAGCTGAGGAGACACTGATGTACTGCCTCTGAGCGCATGCATGCAGCAGCAACCCAATGAGGGTCTTCTGCAGCAGCAGCAACGCGTGCTGCTTCTGCTGCTGCACACTCCTGAATCTGTCTCCCCATCAGGCTGCTTCTTTTAGAAGCCCTCTTCAAGGGCCCCCAGGGCTCGCTGCTGCTGCTGCTGCTGCTGCTTGTTGCTGTTCTGTTTGCTGCAGCGACAGCTGAAGAGACAGCAACGAGGTGTCTCTGCACCCGGCGAATGAGAGGCATAACGGGGTTGAGGCCTTTCTTCCTGCTGCTGCTGCTGCTGCTGCTGCTGGTTGTCTCTGTTGAGAGCCCTGAAGCTAAGAGAGACTCCACAAGACTCTTATGATCGTCAGCAGCAAAAAGAGAAGAAGCCCGTTCCTGCTGCTGCTTCTCTTTCTTCTTGCTGCTGCTGCTGCTGCTTTGGCGCCGCCGCAGCAGCAGCAGCGGGCAGTGGCTGAACAGCACAACCCAACGACGCCCCACACCCCACTTTGCTGCAGCAGCAGCAGCTGCTGCTGCTGCTGCTCCTGCTGCTCCTTCTGCTGCTGCTGCCTCGCTTGTCGCATCCCCTCCGCTTGCTGCAGAGTTGGAGTCAAGCGAAGCAGCAGAAGAACCCTGCTGCTGCAGTCGGCTGCTGCTGCTGCTGCTGCTGCTGCTGCAGTCTTCTTCGCCGCTGCTTTCACTTTCTGACGTACTTTGTGTCTCCTTCTCTTCTTCTGTATTAACTGCGGGCTTGTTTTGCTGCTGCTGCTGCTGCTGCTGCTGCTTTTGTTTCTTTTTCTTTTTCTTTGTTGTTTGAGTTGCGCCAGCCCCGTTCTGCTGCTTCAACTCCTTTACTGCCTTCTTGTTCCCTTGCGATGCTGCTTCAACCTGCTGCTGCTGCTGCTTCTGCTGCTGCTGCTGCTTCTGCTGCTGCTGCGCTTTACCTTTAGAAGCCTTAATGGGGGCCCCTGTTGCTGCTGCAGCCTCAGCAGGCCCTGAGGGTGCCCCCTTAACATCTCCTTTGGGATCCTTAAGCACTTTGCGTTTCTTCTTCGGGGCCCCAGCAGCAGCAGCAGCAGCAGCAGCAGCAGCTGCTGCTGCTGCTGCTGCTGCTGCAGTCGAGCCTCCTTCCTTTTTTCTTTTATTAGTTTTGAGCGCCATTTCTTTTTAATTATATTTTTAAATTTAATTTATCTTTAAGCAAACAAACAAATGCAGCAAAATATTTAAACATGCAGCCCCTAGGGGCCCCACAGTTAGCTGCAGCGGCGATCGGTTATTTGCTGCTGCTGCCTCTATAGAAAGAAATAAAAGAAATAAAATATAAATAAATAATAATTAATTAATTAATTAATTAAATGCAAGAAGATATTCTTTTATTATCTGCTGTACTCCTGCATGCACTGCCTATGGGTCCGGGATCGGCATGCATGCACACTGCTGCTGCTGCTGCTGCTGCTGCTGCTGCTGCTGCAGCTGCAGCAACTTCTGCTGCTTACGAGAGATTCTTGCTGCTCCTTAGTAAATCCCTTGGCCTCCTCCTGTATAGCGAGCTGAGTTGACGTGTGGGTGCAGCATTTGTTAATTAATATATTTATTAACTTGTTAATTAATATATTTATTAATTTAATCAACTAAATAAAGAAGTTTGAAGCAAAATAAGAGTCTCTAACTATAAGAAAGAGCAGTATACATATATATAAATGTATGTATATAAATATATATATATATGTATATATACATATATATATATGTATACGCATATATATATATATATTACATATATATACATGTATGTATATATGTATATATATATATATATATATATTACATATATATGTATATGCATATATATATTAATATATACATATATATATTTGTATATATATATATATATATATATATTCTAAAGGAGACAGTTTGATCTTCACTTCTGTCTCTTTCTTCTTAGAGACAGCAACACTGCTGCTAATGGGTGCAGCAAATGCATGCATGCATTTAAAAGTTTATTAATAGCTAAAGAAGAGCAGCAGTAATATTTAATATATTTAACCTGTAGAGTGTATATGAATAAGAAATGTGTTCTTTATCTTAATATCTTCTGCTGCTGGTGCTGCTGTTGCTGCTGCTGCTGCTGCTGTTGCTGCTGTTGCTGCTGTTGCTGGTGCTGGTGCTGCTGCTGCTGCTGCTGTTGATAAGAGTTGCTGCTGCTGTATTTTTACTGTACACTGTCTCTAAAGGGTGTTTTTAAGAGATAAACATTTAACTAAAATACTCTCAGATGCATTCTTAAAAATATATAACTCGCAGTTAAACAAAGAAGTTGTTTAAGAATAAACATAAGCAGTTTAATTAGTTTAAACTTTTATTTTGATGTGCAGCACTAACTATATTCTTAGCATATCCCTAAACCCTAAACCCTAAACCCTAAACCCTAGCAGCAGCTAGGGAGGGCCCCCAACTGTCTCCACAGGAATGAATACGCTCTATCAGCCAGAGTATACACCCTAAACCCTAAACCCTAAACCCTAAACCCTAAACCCTGAACCCTAACTAATACCTCAACCCTAAACCCTAAACCCTAAACCCTAAACCCTAAACCCTAAACCCTAAACCCTAAGTGGTGACCAAAGGCCAGGAAAAGTAAAGAGAGAGAAGCTGTCTTTCTCTTTATTGTAGATTGCTGATAAGAAGACAGCTAATAGATTTAAATGCTGCTCACAGCGCAGCAGCAGCAGCAGCAGCAGCAGCATCTACTGTGTCTCTATTGCTGTTCAGAAGCAGCAGCACACAAGAGGTTTAAACATAAAGTTAAAAAAAGTTAAGCGATGCATTCAAGTAATATTTTTATCTTTGACGTACACTAAACTCTGTCTTAACTTATTATATATTTATATATATTATATTTACTTCTGCATGTAAATATATATATATATAATATATAATATACATAATATATATATATATATATACATAATATATATATATATATAATATGCATATATATTTAATTAAATATTCTTTCAGAGATCTACTTCTTACTCAATCAATATCTAAAATAAATTAAAACAAACAGCAAAACCCTAACACCTAAAGGGGCCCCCAGCAGCAGAAGGGCCCCCAACAGCTAGGGGGGCCCCCAACATCTAAAGGGGCCCCCAATACCTAAAAGGGCCCCCAACAGGTAAAGGGGCCCCCAGCATTTAAAGGGGCCCCCAACACCTAAAGGGGCCCCCAGCGGCTACTAAACCCCAACAGCTATAGGGGCCCCCAACACCTAAAGGGGCCCCCAGCAGCTAAAGGGCCCCCAGAGGCCCCGGGGCCCCCAACAGCTAAAGGGCCCGTACCAGCTAGAGGACCCCCAACAGCTATAGGGGCCCCCAACAGCTATAGGGGCCCCTAGAAGGTAAAGGGGCCCCTAGCAGCTAGAGGGGCCCCTAGAAGGTAAGGTGCCCCCAGCAGCTAAAGGGGCCCCCAACAGCTATAGGGGCCCCTAGAAGGTAAGGGGGCCCCTAGCAGCTAGAGGGCCCGGGGCCCCCAACAGGGCCCCCAGGAGTATATTGAATTTATTAATTGCAGTTTTAGGAGATGATTAATTAAAGAGTAATGCAGCTTTATTTTTTATGGCTTGTCTTGTATTAAAGTCTGCTTATAGAAGTTAATAGAATAAAGTAAAGTTTATTTATTGATAATAAATATTAGCAGTATTTATTTATGTATATTATTAATACAGAGCGCTTTATAAAGATAATTAAACAATAAACATAAAAATATATTGCAGACGTACTCAGCATTACTGTCTCTTTATTGAATAAACATCAGAAAACCAACACTCGAACAGTCCGAAGCTCAGCAGCAGCAGCAGCAGCAGCAGCAGCAGCAGCAGCAGCAGCAGCAGCAGGCAGAACAGAGGGGGCTCCGTGCATACTTCCAGTCTCCTTTGCAAATCTAGGGTTTAGGATATAGAGTTTATGATTTATAGTTTAGGGTTTAGGGTTTGGGGTTTAGGGTTTGCTGATTGAATAGAGATCGAAGAGGTTTAGGGTTTAGGGTTTAGGGTTTAGGCTGTCTCTAATAATCGGTCTGGAGAGACAGCAAAACTAGCAGTAAATGCAATTCTCTTAAGGCTTTCACTGTTAAAACGAGTTATAAAAATAGACTTGTTTAATTATTAAAGCATTAAATAAATAAATAAACAAAAACAATAGGAGATATTTGCTGCTGCAGCTGCTGGGGGCCTTAAGCTGCGCGGCCTTGCAGTGTATATACAGCAGAGAGGTGTGTGTGTTGCTGTGGGTATTGAAAGCTTGTTCTTAGTTTATTTCAATAAAATAACTAATTAATAAGAAGAATTATTGTTTTATTTTATTTTATTTATTTATTTGTTTCTCTTTTGAGCCCTTATACTGCAGCAGGCCCCCACCTGTGCTGCTGCTGCTGCTGTCGGCGGCGCCCCGGTTGCTGCTGTTGCTGCAGCGAGGTTATGGTGTATCTTTGATATTTCTGTTATTCTTTAGTTTTTATTTTAAATAAATCAAAAAGAAAATTTAAAGAAAACAGCAGCAGCAACAGTCGCAGCAGCAGCAGCAGCAGCAGCAGCAGCAGGACCTGCGGCCCAGCAAGAGACCATTGCCTGTCCATTCGGGTTGCTGCGCTGCAGCTGCTAATACACCTCAGATTCTTAGCTTAATCTATGCATGCAGCAGCATCTCTTCTGCTGCTACTTCATAGACACCTGGAGAGCAAGCTGAGGGCAGCTAAGGGGGGGAGACTAGCCCTCCAAGCAGCAGCAGGAGCAGCAGCAGCAACAAGGCCTTGCTGCAGCAGCAGCAGCAGATGCTGCTGCTGCTGTAGCTACAGCAGCATTAGCTTTGAATTTTTGCTGGGGATCTGCTGTCTCCTTGCTGCTGCAGTATGGAGACACCCGGCTGCAGCAGCGGCCCAGAGGGCAATGAAGCAGCAGCTTGCTGCGGAGGCGAAGAAGAGACGGTTGCTTCTTCTTTAAACTCACTACTTGCACCTGTTATAATAGATGCAGATGTCTCTGCTTTAACTCTTGAAGCTATGAAAAACCTCTTTAAAGCTCTTAACGAGCTGCGTATACACCCGGGGCCTAGCAGATGGAAGCCCCTCTTAAAAGGCGAAGAAAGCGTTGCTGCATGCAAAGTTTTTTTAGATAGATTGGTGAGAAGATATTAAAAATAATATTATATTTGTCTCTGTTTTATCTTTTAATGCTTGCTCAGCTGTCTCCTTATACACTCTGTATCTATATGTCTCTAACTATATTTATTTGTTTATTTATCTGTCTCTTTTTATTATCTCTCTTTTTCGCTGTCTCTTCTTTCATTATTTACAACCAAACACCAACAAATACTTCCCCCCTCCTGCTGCTGCTGCAGCTGCTGCTGCTGCTGCTGTTGCTGCTGCTGCTGCTGCTGCTGCTGCTGCAGGCTCGTGCTTCTGATTTGCTAGGCATAAGGCCTCAAAGCCGCACTTATCGCAATCAATTTACTCAAAATTACAAGGCACTCTTCCCAGACTATCGGAGACACTACAGAGTAGATGTCTTAGAAGCTTCACAAGAAGGGTTAGGCATGCATCCACACACTCCTTGCTGCTGCTGCTGCTGCTGTTGTTGTTGTTGTTGTTGTTGTTGTTGTTGTTGTTGTTGTTGTTGTTGTTGTTGTTGTTGTTCACAAGAAGGGTTAGGCATACGTGCATGCACACACTCCTTGCTGCTCCTGCTGCTGCTGCTGCTGCTGCTGATACTTCTGTTGCTGATAATTGTGCATGCATGCATGCATGCAAGAGTCTGTTGTGTTGAGGTGCGTGTACACCGCAGGTATTCAATAATTTATGTGAACGGCGAGAGATATGATTTTCAGGCTGCAGTTATTGAGAGAGGAGCTGCATTTAGAGAAGCATGGGCAAGGGCATTAGATGTGGTTAGCTGCTGCTGCTGCTGCTGCTGCTGCTGCTGCTGCTGCTGTGGCTATGGCTGATGCTGCTGCTGTTCTTGCTGCTGCTGCTGCTGTTAGTGCTGCTGCTGCTGCTTTTAGCGTTGCTGCTGCTGCTGTTTCTGCTGCTCCTGTTGCTGCTGCTGCTGTTACTGCTGCTCCTGCTGTTGCTGCTGCTGCTGTGGCTGATGCTGGGGCTGCTGCTGTTGCTGCGCGCGGACCTCAGCATACACGCCTAAAGAAATCACCCTGTCTGTCTCTGTCTCTCCGTCTGTCTCTGTCTGTCTGTCTCTGTCTGTCTCTATCTTTCTCTCTCTATCTTTCTGTCTCTCTCTGTCTGTCTCTGTCCGTCTTTGCCTGTCTCTTTGTCTGTCTCTTTGTCTGTCTCTTTGTCTGTCTCTTTGTCAGTCTCTTTGTCTGTCTCTTTGTCTGTCTCTTTGTCTGTCTCTTTGTCTGTCTCTCTTTTTGCCTCTCTCTGTCTCTCTGTCTCTGTTTGCATATATATATCTACATATATATATATATATCTATATCGATATATCTATGTATGTAAAACCTATAAATATACATATATATATATATCGATATATCTACATATGTATAACCTATATATATATAAATCTACATGTATATAAATCTATAAATCTATAAATAAATATAAATATATATATATCTATATTATGTTGTGCATACAGCTGAGCGTGTTACAGAGCGAAGACTTAAGCCGTCTTCCTTACTGGAGGTTTGAGTTGATCCCTGTGTTAGGAGAGTTAGACATTAGCTGGGCGTACTTTGAAGAAGAATATGTTTTAGAGTTGATTAGGATAGAAAGAAAGTGCCGAAGATTAGTGCTAGATTTAATTAAAGAAGAGCAGACAATGATGCTGCTAGACAGTGCTGTTGCTGCTCTTGTCTTTAAAGCTGATACCTCTCTTACTATACATCTTCAAGTCTGGAGTGTCTGGAGATCTGCTAGAAGAAGATATATTAAAAACATCTCTTTACTTCTCGCTGCAGCAGCTAATAATCACCGACCCTCTCACAGCCAATCCTTACAAACCACACAGTTTGATCTAGATGTACTAGAGACAGCTGAAAGCATCATCAAAACTACAGGTATGTATATATATATATGTATATATATGTATAATTATGTATATATATATATATATTTATGTAGTTATATATGTGGGTGTGTATAGCTACATGTATATATATATATATATATATATATATATACATGCTCGTCGATGTGTATACATGTATATACATATACGGGTATAATAATAATAATAAAATTTGTATATATATATATATATATAGGTCTCTCTCTCTCTCTATATATATATATAAATACATGTAATAAAATAATATAAATATAAATATATATATATACACCTATATCTATGTATATACATCTGTATACATCTTATTTATTTATTTGTTTATTTATTAATATATTTATATATATATTTATATATACATATATTTATTTATACATTTATTTACATATTTATTTAGACATTTATTTATATATTTACATATTTATTTATTTATTTATTTATTTATCTATATATTTATATATATCACATATATTTATATATATATATATATTTATTTATATATTTATTTATATATTTATTTATTTATTGTTTATACAGAGGCAGACCCGTCTCACGTTTACTTCGCAGTCGAACATCTCGCAGCGGATTGCGTAACAAGCTTCAACGAACTGCGCGGGTAGATAATAATAATAAAATAATAATAAAATAATAATAAAATAATAATAATAATAATAATAATAATAATACTAATAATAATAATTAGTAGTAATAGTTGTAGTTATAATAATTATTATCATTACGCACCAGCTTCAACGAACTGCGCGGGTAATTATTATAAATAATAATAATAATAATAATTATTATTATTATTATTATTATTATTAGTAAACAATTAATAATAATAATTATTATTAAATAATTAATAATAATTAATAATAGTTAATAATCATGGTTATAATTAATAATAACAATTATCATAGTTAACTCCGCGGGTAATAACAATAAACATAATTATATATATTAATTATATATATGCATGCATAATATATATAATATATATATCATATATATATATATATTTATATATATATGTGTATATATATATATATATATTGTGGTGTCTCTGTTGGTGTGTATGCAGACATATAAACGAACTGTCTCTCTTTCCCGATCGCATAGACCCTCATTTAAATAATAATCGTTCTTTAGTATTATATTTAAATAAGGTTGAAGAGAAGTGGAGACTAGCAAACAAATATATTAGAGACAACAAAAGACTGATGGAGTTGCTGCAGCTAATTGATTTTATTGCTGCAGTTGTCTCTACAGAAAAATCTCTACACGTGCAGCAGCAAGACAGCAGCAGCAGCAGCAGCAGCAGCAGCGGTGGTGGTGGTGGTGATCGTGGGGGTGGGGGGAGCTGTCAGGTGTCTCCTTCCAGCAGCAGGAGAAGCTGTTCCGCTTCTTCTGAAGCTGCAGCAGCAGCAGAGACACAGCAGCAGCAAACCACTACTACGCAGACAGAAGGAGAATGTGCAGAGACACTTGAGCACCGTCTCCTTAACTGTGATGTTAGCGCCTTCTTAGCGGTAAGCAGACACATATTTTGCTGCTGCTGCTGCTGCGGCACAAGCAGTTTGCTGCTGCAGCAGCTGCACTGTGCTGCTGCAGCACTTGCGCTTTGCTGCTGCAGCACATGCACTTTGTTGCTGCTTCACCTACACTTTGCTGCCCCAGCGCAAGCAGCTTGCTGCTGCTGCAGCACAAGCAGATTGCTGTTGCTGCTGCACCTACACTTTGTTGCTGTATTAGAAACAGTTTGCTGCAGCAGCAGCAGAAGCAGTTTGCTGCAGCAGCAGCAGAAGGAGTGTATAATTTGTATATGATATATTAGTGCATCCGCAGCCTTCTTCTCTCCTTAATGTTTTTATTTATTTTTGTTCTTGTTTGTTCTCAGATACCTCGATTTGTTTGTCTCTTTTATTTATTAGACCCTGTACACCGCCTGCATATTTTAAAACCCTTTCTCCCGCGTTTATTGGCCAATGAAGACCAATTTGACAGCAGCAGCTGTACAGACACCTCAAACGGAGACACAGAAGAACATATGTCTCCTTCAAGCAACTCTCCTATGCACCACCCAAATCAACCTCCCCCTCCTGCTGCTCCTTCTGGTGCTGCTGCTGCTGCTGCTGCTGCTGCTGCTGCTGTTGCGGGGGCCCCTCAAAGTTCAGGGGCCCCCTTCAGCTGTCTCCCTCAGCACGGAGAGGCTGCTGTCGGTGTCGCTGTCTCCATTCCTGCTGCACCCTCTACGTCAACAGCAGCAGCAGCAGGAGCTGCAGCAGCAGGAGCAGCAGCAGCAGAGAGTGCTGGGGGCTCCGAGTCTCGCACTGCGCAGCAGCAGCAGACGGGGGCCCCTGAAGCACTTTGGCAGCAGAAGAGACAGCTGAGGCGTCTGAAGTGTATAGACAGAGGAAGCAAAGAAGGAGACAGTAGCAGCTCTTCTGTTCAAAAGGATTCAGACGGCATGGAGACAGCAGATAGCACAGATGTCTCTTCATCTTTATCTGTCTCCTTAAACGACAGCGCGCAAGAGAGAAGCTCTGTCCGTTCGACTGCAGCTGGGGTGTCTCCTTTAACTCAGGATAGTGTATTGTCTCCTTCTGCTGCTCCTCAGCAGCTGTCTCCTTCTGCTGCTGCTGTCTCTTCATTAGATAACAACATCTCTACAACTCAATCTGCTGCTGCTGCAGCTACAGAGGGGCCCTGCATGCATCAGCCCCACTCAAACCCTCGGCTGTCTCCTTCCCAGGAGCGGTGTATGCGCAGCTCTTGCTGCTGCTGCTGCAGTAGCTGCTGCAGCAACTGTAGCTGCTGTAACTGCAGCAGCTGCAGCAGCAACACTACCACGAGCAGCGGCAGCAACAGCAGCAACACTACGAGCAGCAACAGCACGAGCAGCAGGAGCAGCAGCACCACCGCGAACAACTGCAGCAGCAGCAGCACTGCAACCAGCAGCAGCAGCAGCACTACAACCAGCAGCAGCAGCAGCAGCAGCAGCAGCAGCAGCAGGGTGCGGAGTATGCTGAAGAAGGTGCCTGCTGCTTTGCGCGACATGGTCTTAGCCTGGGTCTCCTTGCAAGATTGGGTTGAGGGCCCCGAGGAGACAGCAAAAGAAGAGGGGTGGAAGACAGTCGTCGCGCTGCTCTCTGACACAGACAAACTTAATAATCTTATTCGCTCTGTCACAACGCGAAGGGTTAGCCTGCATTCTACTGTCTCCTTTCTACTGTCTCTCTCCCTTCTACTCTGTCTCCTTCTGTCGACTTTATACTCTGTCTCCTTTCTACTCTGTCTCCTTTCTACTGTCTCTCCCTTCTACTCTGTCTCCTTCTGTCTCCTTTCGACTCTGTCTCCTTCCTACTATGTCTCCTTCTGTCTCCTTTACGCTCTGTCTCCTTTCTACTGTCTCCCCTTTATGCTCTGACTCCTTTATGTTATGTCTCCTGTATGCTCTGTCTCCTTTATGCTCTGTCTCCTTTATGCTCTGTCTCCTTTATGCTCTGTCTCCTTTATGCTCTGTCTCCTTTCTACTTTGTCTCCTTTATGCTCTGTCTCCTTTATGCTCTGTCTCCTTTCTACTTTGTCTCTTTTATGTTTTGTCTCCTTTCTCCTCTGTCTCCTTTCTGTTCTGTATTTTTTATGTTGTCTCATTTCTACTGCCTCTTATCTGCTGTCTCCTGTCTCTTCACTGCTGTCTGTTGTCTGCTTTACCCTGTCTCCTTTCTATTGTCTCCTTTATGCTGTCTGCTGTCTCCTTTATACAGTCTGCTGTCTCCTTTCTGCTGTCTCCTTTCTATTGTCTCCTTTCTACTGTCTGCTGTCTCCTTTATAGAATCTGCTGTCTCTATTTATTTATCTGCTGCACCAAGGAGACAAGCAGCAGCAATCTAAACAATCTTTTGCTGTCTCCTTCTCTTTTGTTTGCTTATTCTTCTTTTCGTTGTTTCTCTTCTCTTTCTTTTATTTTATTTTATTTTATTTTGCTTTATTTTATTTTATTTTTTTATTGTTTCTTTTATTGTTATTCTTTTTCTTTTGCTTTTTTTCTTACAGCGTTGCATGCAGTCATATTATATTATCCTTTGTGTGATGTGCTGCTGCTGCTATTGCTCCTGCTGCTGCTGCTGCTGCTGCTGCTGCAGGTTGCGGCTCGAAAGAGACAGTTGGAGTGTCTCTTTCATTCGATTGAAGCTGTCTCCATTTGCATGCAGCGCTCATGTGCAGCAGAGTGGAATGAATTTCTGCAGGTCGTTAGCCGCAGTGTCGCACAGAAAGTGCAGCAGCAACCCAGCAGCAGCAGCAGCAGCAGCAGCAGCAGCAGAGGCAGCAACAGCAGCAGCAGAGGCAACACCAGCAACAGCAGCAGCAGCAATAGCAGCAGCAGCAGCAGCAGCAGCAATGCACCAATGCACCAACAAGCACAAACAAATAAACATCATATACCCTACAATGCACTCAACACCAGCAACTATCATACGCAAGCAAATCAACAGGGCTCCCCACAGGGGCCCTTACAGGGGCCCCCGCAGGGGCCCCCCCCTCTGGGATCTCAAGAAGCGAGGCGGGAGGGGCCCTGAGGAAGGAGACCTTCAACAGGGGCCCCAACCGGAAACCCATGACAAGACCCTCAGGAGGGGCCCCAAAGAGGGGGGCCCATGAGGAGAGGCTCCAAGGGGGGCCCCCTGCGGAGGAGCCTTCATCAGGAACTGTGCTAGAGGGGCCCCAGGGGGGGGACCCCTCCTCAGGGGGCCCCCTTGGGGCCCCCTGAGGAGGGGACTTCATCCGGAGCGCTTCTAGAGGGGCCCCAAAGGGGGCCTTGAAGGGGAAACCAGGGGCCCCCATTGTTCAATGGGGGCCCCTGGGGGCCCCCTTAGAGGGGAGGTTGAGAGGGGGCCCCAGAAAAGGGCTTAGAGGAGACAGATGATATCAGAGAGAGAGAGAGACATCAGAAGTTGCTTCTAAATATATACCCACAGTGTGCAGAAGGCAATTGGCCCCCAGTAGTTAGGAGGCCCCAATGGGGGCCCCCTTTAAATGTCTTTATATTTAATTTTGCTTATGAAGCACACACGTAGGTGCGTCAGGTGTATCTGCACCTCTTCTCAGGTGTATCTTGAGTTTGTGTCTGTTGTATTGGTGGGGCCTTATATTGGGCATATCCTCAGTTGTTTTTCAGGTGTATCTGCACCTTTTCTCAGGTGTATCTGCACCTTTAATAAGGTGTATTTGCACCTTTTTTCAGGTGTATCTGCACCTTTAATAAGCTGCATCTACACCCTGTCTTATTCAGGTGTATCAAGGGGCCTGCGTACTGCAGGTGTGTACGGGGGCCCTATTTGGGGTTGGCGGCGTGAGAAGAACATCAATAATAATTTATTTGCTGTCTCTATAATAATAATAATATAATAATAATATAGGGACAATATAGTAGTAATAATAATAATAAGTGTGTCTCATTAAAGTGTCTCCAACAAAATAACAAGAGAGAGAAATAAACAAAAGAGAAAAGGAGACAGATAAAAAAGACTAAGCAAACGAACAAAGATAAACAAATAAAACAGAGACAATAAACAAACAAGGAGACACTAACAAATTATAAAAGAGACAGCAAAAAACAGAAGCGCACAAACAAAACAATGCAAATCATCAACACTAGACAGGGTCCCTTTGAGGTGTATGTACAGCTGGGGCCCTCTACCCCAGGTGTATGCTTCTCCTTACGGCTTTACGAAGCTACAAAAGTCATCCCTGTATTCATGCATGCATGCTTGCATGCATACAGATACACATAAATGCATGCATGCATGCAGACTATACAACAGATAAAACAAAGAGGAGACACCCTGTCCTACGAGGCGAGCACAGACAGCTACGAACCCTTCCGCTTGCATTTATCTCTAATATGCATTTCTTAATTGTTTAAAAGGGAGATAAAGAGATAAAGAGACACCTCAAGGTCTGCCAGTGTGGGGTCAAGGCCCCACAGATGTAAAGGAGACCCTTGCAACTCCCCTGTCTCCTGCTGCATGCTTAAGCTGTAGCTGCATATACACCTAAATTAAAGCCACAAAAAAAGCAAAAGGAGTCTCCTTAAGCCTCCAAAGTAATACAGGGAGACACCTTAGCCAGCTCGAACGCAGACACAACTGAGGTGCCTATACACCCCAATGTGCTGAGGTGTCTGTACACCGGAGTGTGTCCGCATGCATGCATGCATGCATGCATGTGCATTGATTTATGTCTGTTATTTCTCTCCTTTTTCTAAGAAGAGCTTTGCTGTGAGGCGAACCACCTCAACTGGTAGTCCCCTATCTGCTGGGAATTCAAAGCCAGCCTGTGTTGTCTGTTTCATTTGGGGTGTATCTGCAGCAGCAGCAGCTGCTGCTGCTTCAGCTGCAGCAGCAGGAGCTGCAGCACCGGCAGCAGAAGCACATGATGCGTCTAGAATACGTTTTAATGCTGCATGCATGACAGCAAACCCTAGAGGATCTTCAACTGTCTCCTCTCCCTCCCCCACAACACAAACACCAAGTGTCTCTGCAAGGCGAAGGAGACACCCCACATCAGCTACAACGCAAGCAAGCCAGCAATTCGCTGAATGCAGCTGGGATCGCCCGATCCCAGGGCCTCGGTGTGGGGTGGACTGTCCCCGCGGTAGCACAACAGAGGGGCCCCCTGCAGCAGCTGCAGCACCAGCAGCAGCAGCACCAGGTGCAGCACCAGCAGCACACAATCCAGAAAACCCCTGCGCCTCCAGCTGCTGCAGACAGCCCAGCAGCAAACGACAATAACTCTTAGAAAGAGACTGAAGCAGCAGAGACACCCAACTCCACCCAGCCTGCAAACAAACAGACAAATAAACATATGTATATATATATAGTATATATATAGTGTATATATACATATATATGTATATGCAGATAAGTAAATATACACATACATATATATATATGCAAATATATATACATATATATAATGCAAGAACGCACCCCATGCATGCATGCACCTCATGCATGCATGCATGCATGCAGCACCCCATGCATGCATGCACCTCATGCATGCATGCATACACCTCATGCATGCATGCAGTAGCAGATGGAGGGAGCTTACATCTGCTGGGGGCGTCGCATCTTCTAGAAGAGGCAGCAGAGTTAAAATATGTTCTCCGACAGCAGTCACTGCAGCTGTGGGGTTGAGGCCTTCAAATGCTGCTGTCTCCGCAGGGTCTATAATAGAGCTCATGCTGCTGCTGCTGCTGCTGCTGCTGTTGCTGGTGGCCCCCATGCCATTGCTGGTGCTGTTCCTGCTGCTTGCAGCAGCAGCAGCAGCAGCTGCTGCTGCTGCTGTTAGGGTGTCTGCATAGCAGTGCTGCAAGAAGAGATCAACTGGCATGCAGCAGCAGCAAACAACAAGATCTTGTGATGCTGCAGCAAGAGCAGCATGAGCCCCAAAGGAGAGAGGCAGCAAATGTTGTGGGGTTGCTGCTGCTCCAGAGTTTATAAGGGCCTTCTGAGCTGTACGTACAGCAGCAGGTGAAGGAGACAGTAGAGGGAAGTCCGGCCTGCAAGGAGACAAACAAATAAATATATCTTGTCTATAAATAAACTCATTATACACCTCACCACTGCATGCACTCCGCGGGGCTGCCGCTGGAGGTAAATTAAAAAAAAATTAATAATAATACACAGAGGTTTGCTGCTACTGCCCTCAACAAACAGCTGCAGCACCAGCTGCAGCAGCAACAGCAGCTGCAGCAGCAACAGCAGCAAAAGATAGGGAGTCTTCACGTCTGCATGCAGCAAAGGGAGACGCTGGGGTGTACGTACTGCTGCAGCAGCAGCTCCACGCAGTGGCTGAGGCGATTTGGGCGTCCTGCTGCAGGCGCCAGCTGCTCACCCAAGACAAGCCCAACCTGCAGCAGCAGCAGCAGCAGCAGCAGCAGCATAAATAGGACACCGCTGGCAATGCCTGCCCGCAGCTGCAGCGCGGAGCAGCAGCAACGCTAACCTCAGCAGCAGCAGCAACACAAGCAGCACCAGCAGCAGCAGCAACACGCGCAGCAAGACGACAAAAACCGACGCGAGCAGCGACAGCAGCAGCAACCGCAGTAGCACCAGTAGGCTCAGCAGCAACACGAGAAGCAGCAACAACAACAGCATCAGCACCATGCGCAGCAGCAACAGGTGCAGTAGCTGCAGCAGCACCGCTAGCAGCAACAGCAGCGGCAGCAGCAACTGCAGCAGCAGGTGAGTCTCAAGAATAGAAGCACCTCCTGCAATTTATGCTGCAGCGAAGACATCAGCGCATGCAACTGCAAACAAGCAGAAAGCATAGATGAATTTAGGGGCAAAGCCCCAAACGAAGAACCGCAGAAGCGATCCTTGTGCTGCTGCAACGAGCTCTTCGCCTGCAGCACAAACCCTAAACCCTAAACCCTAAACCCTAAACCCTAAACCCTAAACCCTAAACCCTAAACCCTCAAACCCTAAACCCTAAACCCTAAACCCTAAACCCTAAACCCTAAACCCTAAACCCTAAACCCTTGGCTTGTATTGAGTAGAGTGCTGAGATGTTAATGTGTATTCTCGTTTGCTGCTGCAGGGAGAGAGAATGTTTTCGTGGGGCTGGTAGTAGTTGCATGCAGCAGCTGCATCCAGCTGCGGCAGCAGGAGCTGCTGCATACATGTGCATGCAGGTGCTGCAGCAGCAGCTCCCATAGCAGCAGCTGCATGCAAAAGCAGCTGCTGCAGCATCTGCTGCTGCATGCATGCGCATGCATCTCTTTTTGTGTTTTTTGATGTTTTACCTGGAACGCCACGGATTGATGAAAAGCATTTACTCGAGGAGTAAGACAATTAAGCTGCTCGACAAGAGCAGCATCAGCAGCAGCAACAAGAAAAGGAGCAGCAGCAGCGCTGCACTTCTTGCAGAGAGAAGGGAGACACCCCACAATATACCCCACAGCAGCTTGTGTCTCCTCTTCCATTTGACTAACAGCCTGAAGCATAGGTCAATAAAACTCATGCAGCAGCAAATGCAGCAGCAAATGCAGCAGCAGATGCAGCAGCAAATGCAGCAGCAAATGCAGCAGCAGATGCAGCAGCAAATGCAGCAGCAATTCCAGATGCTGCAGCAGCGGGACCTGCTGCAGCACGGGCAGATACTGCAGCAGGTGCCGCTGCAGCAGCAGTTGCAGCTGCAGCTGCAAATGCAGCTGCATCAGCTAGAGCAGCAAGTGCAAGTGCAGCAGCAGCAGCACCAGCAGGCAGTGCAGCAGCGACAGCAGGAGCAACAGCAAGTGCAGCAGCAGCAGCAAGTGCAGCAGCAGCAACCCGAGACACGACCGTCCAGCAGCCCCAGACTTGTACGTCTTCATCTTTAATGCATGCAGAGATTGAGTACCTGTAAAGGAGACAACTTAGACGAAGCCCTCTTAGGGTTGCTGTCTCCTGCTGCAGCAGAGAGACGAGAGAAGGCAGCAGCTCCATATAAACCCAATAGAGAGGGCGGAAGCAAAGAGACAGAGCTGCAAAACTATAAACAAACAAACAAAACCCAGCAGACTTCGCTTCTCACTCCCCCTGCTGCTGCTGCTGCGGATGCTGCTGCTGCAGCGGATGCTGGTGCAGCAGCAGCAGCGGATGCTGGTGCAGCTGCAGCTCCTGCTCTTGCTCTTGCTGTTGCTGCTGTGGCTGCAGCAGCATGCTGCTTTTGCAGCAGCAAAACCAGCAGCAGCAAACACAGCGGAAAGCTGCGGCTACTGCTGCTTTTGCTGCTGCTGCTGCTGCTGCTGCTGCTGCAAGAGCTAAGTGGAGACTGGCGTGTGCACGCAGTCAGAGACAGAAAGGAGACAAACACCCCTCAAGTAATTCAGCTTAGATGGGGACGAGGAGAGAAGGCAGCAGCAGCAGAAGCAAACAGCAAGGAGACAGCAACGCCATCACAGCGAGCAAACACAAGCAGCAGCAGCAACAGCAATAGCAGCGACAGCAGTAGCAGCAACAGCGACAGCAGCAGCAACAACGAAGGGAGCAGCAACAGCAGCAACAGCGACAGCAGCAGCAGCAGCAGCAGCAGCAGCAGCAGCAAAGAGGGACTAACCCGTTCCCACAGGTGGGGCTCTGTTGCTTCTGTCTCTGCAAATGCAGGCGTCGCATTGATTAGGGTCGCCACAACTTCATATGCATCTAGAAGCTGCTCCGCAAGCTGCAGCAGCAGCAGCAGCAGCAGCAGTAGCAGCAGCAGCAGTAGCAGCAGCAGCAGCAGCAGTTGTGTGATGATATCAGTAAGGGATGGCGGCGTTGGCTGGGTATAGAGAGACAGGGGATAGGAGACAAAACTCAGCTAATAAAAATAAAAAGAGAGACACTCTAAACGCACCTCCAGCCCGTCTTGCTGCTGCTGCTGTTGCTGCTGCTGCTGCTGAAGGCGGAAGCGCTGCAGCAGCCTCTCTAAGTAGGGCAGAGGGACGTCTGCTCCTGCTGCAAGTGAAGCAAGAAGAAGAGACAACCATAAGCTGCGCACCTCAGGGTTTGTCGGGCCTTCGCCTTCTGCACAGAGACAGCGCAACGCAAACCCTAAACACTAAACCCTAAACCCTAAACCTAGTGCTTTGAGGGAAGACAAACGCTCGGTCTCCTCTTTAAGGCTGGCTGCTAAATCTGTCTCTGTCTCTATCTGTCTCCGTCTCTCTATCTGTCTCTGTCTCTCTATCTGTCTCCGTCTCTGTCTCTCTAGCTGTCTCTGTCTGTCTCTGTCTCTGTCTGTCTCTGTCTCTCTATCTATCTATGTCTACCGCTATCTATGTGGCTGTCTGTCTCTTTTCTCTTTCAGGTGTCTCCTTCTTAATTAAGATAACCCAATAAGCTGTCTCCTTTATAGACAAAGGAGATATCTATAAACTGTCTCCTTTATATATATCTATAAACTGCCTCCTTTATATATATCTATAAACTGTCTCCTTTATATATAAATATATATATATATATATAAACTGTCTCCTTTATATATATGTATATATATATATATATAAACTGTCTCCTTTATATATATCTACAGACAGCCCACCAAAAGGAGAAACAGACGAGTGCATCTGCTGCTCCTCAGCAGCAAACTTACCCCCTATAACACCCCCCTCAATGGGGCCCCCTGATGGGGGGCCCCCTAATGGGGGCGCCCCTGATGGGGGGCCCCCATGATGGGGGCCCCCACTTAGTTGGGGGACCCCCTGATGGGGGGCCCCTAATGGGGGGCCCCCTGGATGGGGGCCCCCTAATGAGGGGCCCCCTGGATGGGGGCCCCCTGGTGGGGGGCCCCCTTGATGGGGGCCCCCTGGTGAGGGTCCCCATTGAGGGGCCCCACTTAGTGGAGATGGAGTGAGGGGCCCCTCGGTGTCTCTCTGTCTCCTTCCTGTTCCTACAGCAATTGCTGCTGCACGCAGCAAACCTGCTGTCTGCAGCACAAACCCTAAACCCTAAACCCTAAACCCTAAACCCTCAGGAGGAGACAAAGGAGACACCATCTGCAGCTCTACAGACGATACATAGAAACAAACAAACAAACAAACAAATAAATAAATAAATAAATAAATTTAATTACTGTTTATTCGCCTCACCTCTTCAACGATGGAAGTCCAGCGCTCTGCATATGCAATAAGGGCCTCAGCCTCAGCAATTTTTCTTTGAGATGAAGAGACATCAGCAAATATATTATTAACAAACACCTTGTCTGTTGCTGCTGCTAGCAGCAAGTCTTGCTGCAGCAGCTGCAGCTCGCTGCTGCCACCGTACTCTCCTCCTCCTCCTCCTCGTGCTGCTGCTGCTCGTGATGCTGCTGCTCCTCCTGCTCCTGCTGTTGCTGTTCCTGGTGCACCTCCTGCTGCTCCCCCTTCTGTTGCTGCTGCTCCTGCTGCTGCTGCTGCTGCTGCTGCTGCATCAGCATCCGCAGCAGGAGTCTGCTGCCAGAAGCAAACCCATTCACGCTGCAGCAGAGACCTCAGTGCTGCAGGCAGCTCTTTAAGGAGACACTCAGCAGCACCGAGTTTATTCAAAGCAGAGACAGCACAACGAAACCCGCTAAGGCTGTTGCTGCACACAGACTCCTTTAACCTGCAGCAGCAGCAGCAGCAGCAGCAACAGCAAACTGGCCACACGTTAATATGGGAGGGAACGTGAAAACAGCAACAGCAGCAACAGCAGCAGTAGCAACGTAAGCAGCAGCAACAGCAACAACAACAAAAGAAGCAGCAACAGTAGCAACTGAAGCGGCAGCAGCAGCAGCAGCAGCAGCAAGGCGAGGCCAGTGAGGGCCTTATCAATGAATAATTAAATAGACAGCCCAGCGAGGGTGAAAGAGTAAGAGAAGAAGAAGCAACGAGAAGAGACAGAAAATAATAAAATATAAAGAGACAGAAGACTGATTAAATGTTAAAAAATAAATTAATAAATAATAACCAAAGAGACGGCATATAAATAAACAAATTAAGTTAAATTAAACTAAATCAAAGTAAAACTAAAAATAAAAGGAGACAAAAGAAAAGAGAGGGAGACAGCAACAGCAGCAAAAGAATCCCTAAGAAGCAAAGGAGACAGTGTTGGGGTGTATAGGCAGCAGCACTGTGGGGTGTAGCAGCAGCAGCAGCAGCAGCAGCAGCAGCAGCAGCAGCAGCAGCAGCAGGACTGTGCATACAGCAGGGAGACAAGGGACAAAACTCTTTGCTGCAGTCTTTCAGCTGTTTGTCTCCTTATTGCTGCTTCAGGAAGAGAGCCCAGCAGCACAGCTGCATGCATTAAACACGACGCAACTTCTGCTGCTTCTTCTGCTGCTTGCTGCTGCGAGGCTTCCTGCAGCTCTCCTGGCCTCACCGACTGCAGCAGCAGCTCTGCTTCTTGAACTCTAAGCAGCAAAACAAAATATTTGCACCGCATCAAACAACCCACCTAAATAACAAACACAACAGCTAGCTAGCTAGCTCGCTAGCCAGCTAGCTAGCTAGCTAGCTATGGTGGTAGCTATCTATGTAGCTACGTACCTAGCTATGGAAGTAGCTAGCTAGCTAGCTAGCAATGTAGGTAGGTAGGTAGCTAGCTAGCAGCAAACGTCAGCCTAGCAACAGCTAGCTAGCTACAAACATCAACATAGCAGTAGCTAGCTAGCTGCCTGTCTACCTAGGTGGCTTGCTACAAACGCCAGTCTAACAACAGCTAGCTAGCTAGCTAGCTAGCTAGCTGCAGCTAGCTACAAACTTCAACCCTTGTGCAGCCAGCTAGCTGGCTGCACAAGGAGAAAGAAGCATCTAGGTAGATCGCTCGCCAGCTACCTAACTAGCTAGCTAGCTAGCTGCAGCAGCAGCAGCAGCAGCAAAAGGAGACAGCTTACCTGAAGTGCCATCGATGCAACTCAGCAGCAACAGCGCTGCAATCTAAGAGGTGTCTCTTCACCCCGTGCAGCACATACACCGTAGATAAACCCTCCTGCAGCAGCAGCAGCAGCAGCAGCAGCAGCACAATGTGCAGCAGGAATAGCAGCAGGACTTCCAGCAGCAGCAGCACTTGCAGCAGAAACAAAAACAACAGCAGCAGCAGAACTTGCAGCAGCAGCAACAGCAGCAGACCTTGCACCATCAGCAGCAGCAGCAGCAGCAGCAGCAGCAGCAGCAGGAGTTGCTGCTGATATTTCGCCTATAGATTACCTGCTGCATAGCTCCTCTGGCTTTGAGGCTCTGCAGCAGCTGCTGCACACTTGCTTGGCACTGATGTGTCTCCTTTCTTAAAGAATCAGCAGCAGCAACAGCAGCAGGAAGAGAACGAAGCAGAGACACTGCACTTCCTTCACATACATCTAAGCTCTCCTACATAGACAGCCACAGGCATACAGCAGCAGCAGCAGTAGTAGCAGCAGCAGCAGCAGTAGAAGCAGCAGTAGCAGCAGCAGCAGCAGCAGCAGCAAGATGCACAGAAAACTCCTGCATGCGCTGCAGTTGCGGAGACAGCACTGCTGAGGGCCCCCTGTTGCAGCAACAGCAGCAACAGCAGCAGCAGCAACAGCAGCAGCAGCAGCAGCAGCAACAGGAGCATTACATCGATTTGCTTCCTCAGAGACACCTGCAACTCCTCCAGCTGTCTCTCAAGTGTCTCTAAACCTTCATCAGAAGCATCTTTACATGCCCCTACATGCACATCTATAAAATTATATATATCTACTAGGGGGCCCCCAGGCAGAGCGCGTCGGGGGGCCCCATTGAGTTGAGCTTGTTCATTCATTTTTGCATCTGTAGTGCTGCTGCTGCTGCTGCTGCTGCTGCTGTTGCTGGTGTTGATAGTGCTGCTGCTGCTGCTGATGCTGCTGCTGTTGTTGCTGCTGATGTTGCCGCTGATGTTGCTGCTGATGTTGCTGCTGCTGTTGCTGTCGTTGTAAACGAGAGCAATGAGTTCATGATGGGCGGAGGAGGAGATGTTGGAGGTCAAGGTTTTAGGGTTTAGGGTTTAGGGTTTAGGGTTTAGGGTTTATGAGTGAGGAGACAGCGAGGATTAGAAGGAGGAATCAAGAGTCCCCAGCCTTTTGCATCTCCCCTGTCAATTATAAATAAACCAAATAAAAAAGAAAGGGTTTAATGCTTTAGGGTTTAGGGTTTAGGGTTTAGGGTTTAGGGTGTAGGGTTTACGGTTGGGGGCCCCTGTCTCGGCGCCTGTTAGGGCCCCCAACTATAAACATGCATTTGTAGGGTCTCGTATATTTATTTCTTTAAAATATATTAATTAATTAATTAATATTATTATTATTAATTTATTAATTAGAGAAAGCCGAAGAAAAGACGAGGGGCTGCATGCAGCTTCGACAGACAGCGCTGTCTGCTCGGGTGTCTGCGTATACACCCTATATATATATATATATATATATATAATATCTTTTTATTATCTATTTATTTATATCTTTTAATTTTTTCTTTTTGTTTAAAGCTAAACATCTTACTAATGAAGCAATATATTATTATTATTATTATTATTATTATTATTATTATTATTATTATTATTATTATTATTAT